TTTTTTTTTTTACTGTCTCCTTTCTTTCCTCTCTTGGTGGCTGGGCCTCTTTCTCAAGGATGTGTGAGTGTCATGGAATGGTTCCTTGACACTTAAAAATAGCTTGTATCAAGATTTGGCCCAGAGCCCCCTCGACAGTCACTGGTCCAATGGAGAACAGAGTTCCCTGTGTGTCTTACAGACGTCTGGTTCGGTCACAGCTTGTACCCTGATACCTGTTCATTTCTTTGTCCTGTTTATTGCAGTATATGATTACTTCAACGTATTAATTGATGACATATTGTATCGTAGCCAAGTATCATACTGCCCTTTTTATTGCACACTTCTCTTGGATCTCCAAGGCTTATGGTGGGAAGCAGTGATAATTATAAATGTGTGATATTTAGTTTTCTGAAAGATACGTCCTTCATGTGATAGTTTGTGTGAAAAGTTCCCCAGGAGCTGCCAGTGGGTTCGTGGAAGATGAGAAGCAGCTGATGCACTGAAATAATAGATAAAAGGTCTTGCAGAAATTTGAGGGGAAAATATCAGTCTCGCTTGGCTTTGAAAGCAAATTTCAGTATGTCAGGAAGGGGAAAAACACCTGGTTATGACTTAGATGGTGCAAGGCATGAAAGAGTGAAGCTTCACACGCCCTTACGACCACCCAGAGCTCAGGCCAGAGTGTGGAGGTGGCCAACAAAGCTGTTTCTCCCTGCATTCCTGCTGTGGAGCAAGGGGGTGGGATGGCACAGGGGAATAGGCACAGCCTTGGCTCTGGCCACGCTTATCTGGCTAGAAAAGCTGAGCACAGATAAGCTCTACGTGTAGGGGGGTTGTTTCTTTTTTGTTTGGTTTCTTTTGTTGTTTAAATAAAAGAGCTTCTCCAACTGTCCTGAATTTTCCCTCCCCTCAGACCTGTACAGAAAGACACCTTTGACTTAGATATACCACAGCACATTTATTTATTTACTTGTATCCAAAATTGCTATAGCTAAAAACCAGTATAGAAAAAAATGTTCTTTGGTCTCCTTTCCAAGTTTTCCATCCTCTTAATCTGGAATACTGTGAGTACAGTGCTTTCTGTATGGCTTGTTCATAGCTATATTGATGTAGGTGTTTCAGTTTCATCTGTGATTTGACTTTTTTCTGGAGTTGGAATTCAGGCAAAAGTATTAAGGAATATGGTTTCAGAAATGGCAGGTAGAGCTGAAATGCTGGCGAGCTTTGAAACTCTAGATTAAAAACTGACTAGGTCACAGCAGTGCCCCTGATAAGATCACTAAAAATCAAATGCCTGAAAGAATGACCAATTACTAGATCATTCTTTGTGCACCCTTTGCCATGAGATGGTTTTTGAATTGCCATAGCCACACTGGATAATATGTAACAGGGTTACTAGTATGGCTGCACATAGTATTGCTGCTTATTTTTTAGATGCCCTTTTCCATGAGATGGTTTTTGAATTGCCGTAGCCACACTGGGTAATATGTAACATTAATAGTATGACTGCACATAGTATTGCTGCTTATTTTTTAGATATGTTAATATTCAATAGAGGCAAACTTGGATGATTTGCTTGTATACCAGCCCTTTTTGTTGCCATTACAGAAGATTATAATTTTTGGTTTTGTTCGTGTAAAGCTCAGTGGCAAAGTATGGGCTTCTCTTCCTTCCTTCTTGTTAAGGCTTGCAAATGTTTTTCTTATATAGAAAGCTGAGTGGATCATCTTTCAAGGAAAATAAAATACTGTGAATAAAATTGTGGTATTGTTTAAATCAAGGTACAACTCTGTTCCTTTAAGGAAAAATCCTGGCTCTGCCAGTGTTCCCATATCCCATCCAGTAAAGATGCCAGGAGTATGCTTCTGTTATCAGTTTTTTATTGAATTGTCCCATGTGGGATCTCTTCTCCAATTGGGTGCAGCTAAATGGGGGTGCTGGCAGTGTAGAGCTTTGTCCCTGGAAGTATACTCTAACAGGCTGGATTTACAGTGTGCAGATGCAGGCATCCACACAGCACTGATTTTTAATAATGGCTGTCATTAAAGTACCACAGGTGAGTCTTAGTGATGGCAAATGTCTCTGCTTGGCTGAAGAAAATGAAATTGTAAAGATCATCAAAGAGGACCGAAGAGCCATAATAATGGCTTGATAATGACATAATAATAATAGTTCAGTTCTTCAGGTAACACAGTTAGTTAAAACCTGGGCACAGGAGCAGGGAGCTAAACAATTAGCGGTGTGCTGGCGCTGGGAAGTGCTTTGTCCCTGGAAGTATACTCTAACAGGCTGGATTTACAGTGTGCAGATGCAGGCATCCACACAGCACTGATTTTTAATAATGGCTGTCATTAAAGTACCACAGGTGAGTCTTCGTGATGGCAAATGTCTCTGCTTGGCAGAAGAAAATGAAATTGTAAAGATCATCAAAGAGGACCGAAGAGTCATAATAATGGCTTGATAATGAAATAATAATAATAATTCAGTTCTTCAGGTAACACAGTTAGTTAAAACCTGGGCACAGGAGCAGGGAGCTAAACAATTAGCGGTGTGCTGGCGCTGGGAAGTGTATTTGTAAGGGGAAGTATTTGGGGCCCTGAGCTGACTGTTCTGTGTGTTCTGTTGGGCCCTGAGCCACACAACCAAAAGACCAGGCGGCTCAACAGAGGCTGGGCATTTCAGCTGATCTGCTGCTTTTTACAGGGCTACATGTTGAAAAAAGGTCACAAAAGGAAAAACTGGACAGAACGATGGTTTGTGCTAAAACCCAATATTATTTCCTACTATGTAAGTGAAGATTTAAAGGACAAGAAGGGAGACATCATACTGGATGGCAACTGTTGTGTAGAGGTAAAAAAAAAAACCACCACCAAAACCTATTAGTGTCTCTAAAGATAAAAATTAATATTTTCTTGTGTGCGGGATGGACTCCTGATATCTTTTGTTAACAGAGCTTTTTTTTTTACTTTATATAAAAACAGTTTATAAACATTCTTTTAATAACGGTTTTTAATGCTGGAATTTGTAGCTCTGTAACAGATAACTGCATATGAGGAGCTTGACAATATAACTTAGATTCCAGCATTTGCAAGGCTAATCCTTTTGTTACTCATTCTAGGCTTTGCCTGACAAAGATGGAAAGAAATGCCTTTTTCTCATAAAATGTCTTGACAAAAGCTTTGAGATCAGTGCCTCTGATAAAAAGAAGAAGCAGGAGTGGATTCAAGGTGAGGTTTCAAAAATCTTAGTTACGAGAAAGTTAAGGTAAGCTGAGGTCTTACAGCTGTGCTTTGCTCAAATTTGAAATTCTTGGTCTTGTGAGTTGTCTCTGTTTTGGACACATGGAAAGGATCTTGAAGGAGCCCAAGACTTGGAAAGAGCCAGAGATCCACGTAGGGGAATCAGTTTCTGTCATTTAGGTGGCTCAATTTGGGCAGCCATAACCAAAATGAAAAGGATATTATTGCTGTTTTCTTTTTCTGTATTGGCTGTACTTCTAAGGATGAGGAATGGAGGGGAGAACACTTTGTAAATTGTTGCTTTTAGGCAGAAAGGGAAAGCTTGTTTATTTCAGCATCATAAAACACTGACTACTGTTACAGTTTTGCTTGAGGTAGTATGGTTTGGTGAGCTGAGGATAAAGCTGGGAGTTGGGGCTTCCTCATCTGTTCCCATGGTGAAGGTACTTCTGTGAGACCTTCCCAGATATGAGCTGAATGATAGTTACGTGCATCTTCTGTGCAGTGAGGTAAAGCCCTTGCAAAGCCACTGTTGGCAATGCTATTGAGGTACCTACAGCATTTAAATGCTTGGAGCTACGTGCTTTCGTTTGCGCTTTCCTCTTTACCTGAAGCGTGTGTATAATTGTACCTAAATCAGATTTATGAGTCACTGAATCTAGGCAGTAAGAAATGTTGAAGTTTGGGGTGATTTTGCAGCTAGGCATACAAGTGACTCGTGTGTCTGCAGCCCGTTAGAAGCCAATCATAGAATCATTCAGGTTGGAAGAGACCCTTGGGATCATCGAGTCCAACCATCTCCCCTACTCTACAAAGTCCTCCCCTACACCATGTCCCTCAGCACTGCATCTAAACGGCCCTTAACCACAGCCAGGGATGGTGACTCCACCCCCTCCCTGGGCAGCCTGTTCCAATGCCCGACCACTCTTTCAGTGAAAAATTCCTTCCTAATGTTCAGTCTAAACCTGCCCTGTTGGAGCTTGAAGCCGTTCCCTCTTGTTCTGTCACTAATTACCTGTGAGAAGAGACCAGCACCAACCTCTCTACAGTGTCCTTTCAGTCCACTATATGGAAATGGGCATAAAGCATTGGAATTGCCAGACCTTGTGGTGCACAGCCAATACTGAAAGGCCAGCGTCTTTCGCTTTTGGTTTGTGTTGCCAGCTTGGCTGATGAATCATAGAATCATAGAATTGCCCAGCATACTGAAAGGCAAGTGTCTTCCACTTTTGGTTTGTGTTGCCAGCTTGCCTGATGAATCATAGAATCATAGAGTTGCCCAGGCCGGAAGGGACCCCCGAGGCCTTCTAGTCCAACCTCCCCGCAGTCAGCAGGGACACCCCCAACTAGACCAGGTTGCCCAGGGCCTCGTCGAGCCTCTCCTTGAATATCTCCAGGGATGGGGCCTCAACCACCTCCCTGGGCAACCTGTTCCAGTGCTCCACCACCCTCACAGATGAGAATTGGGAGAACTGACAAGAGTTATTTCTGATTTAAAAGTACAGTCAAAAAGACCCCAACAAACAACTCACCACCACAAGTAACTACTCACTGAGGCTACCCAGAAAGGTCAGCGTTTCCCTTCAATGGTGTTCTCTTCCTCTCCCTTTGCAGCCATACAGACCACCGTGAGCCTGCTGAGAGCAGGGAGCCCCCCACCCCACAAAGAAGCACGCCAAAAGCGGAAAGAACTGCGCCAGAAGCTGTTGGCTGAGCAAGAAGAGCTGGAGAGGCAGATGAAAGAACTGCAGACGGCCAACGAGAACAAGCAGAAGGAACTGGAGACCGTGCGAAAGGTGGGAGTGGGAGCTGCTGACCTTCAAGCTTAAAGCTCCATCTCTGTGGTTGAGCTGGGCTTCTTGAAGTATAATTAGGCATCTGTTTCCTGTTCAGTTGTTCACACTCATTGGGTGAACTCCTCCAGAGGAGGTGAGCTTGTGTCAGCAGCAGGAGATCTGCTGGTTGAGTCTCCAGAGCAAAGCCTTCAGCAGTTTCTAAGGACTCCACAGCAGGCTCGGGGTAACTGACATGGCCCAGCTCTGTCCCCTGGGCCGGTGGGGGGATTGTAAAGCTCGTGTAGAAGAGAACCCCAGCAGCGTGGACGATGTTAGGGGACCAGAGAGTCTACTATTTTTGGTTACTTGTGGGTATTTTGTTTTTCTTTTCTGTCAGACGTGTCTGTCAAGCTTGGGGCTTTCCATTAAGATTTTCTTACATGGTTTTCCGAAGTTATTTGGTGTGTGTGTGGTGTGAGAACTCTTCTGTTCATACAGATGTAGTTTCCAGAGATACAAATTCAATTTACAAAGATTACAAAGATGCAGAGTCTTTTTTGTGAGTATGTATAGGCATAATTTTATTAGAGTAGTTTGGGAGAGATTTTTAGAGCCGAGACATACAGCAACCATTTATAAACTGTTTAAATGCATGTTCCTTGTAAATGCTGTACTGACTTTTAAAAGCCTGAGAATTGGACTAGAAATCTCTGAGTATTAGCAGAAGACTTGCTGAATACATTATTTTCCTCGTAGACAGCTTTTTAGTCTGACAGGAGACCCCAAGGTGCCTCTGCTGTGGCTGTGCACTCCAGCAGGAGATTGAACACGCTGATGGACCTTTATACTTTGGAACAACTGGTACCTCTGTAATAGTTCTCCACAGAGACTTGATTTAGTACCCAGATATACTTTCTATCTTTCTTTTAAAGACTTTAAAGAAGAGTCACTATGGCTTTTCTTGTTGTGATACCTTTTAATGAGGAGTGTGCCTTGGCAATAGCTTAAGGTGCCGTCACATGCCGCCCTCCCCTCCGGCTGCTGACTCCTGCTGCTGCAGCAGGACAGATCTTTGCTGTCTGCTTAGCTGGAAGAGTTTCTGTTTGCTACTTTCCTAAATTAATTTGATTTTTTTTTTTTTTTTTAATTTTTTATTCCCATTTAGGACAAGTCCTAACTCAAGCATCACTGCTTGAGTTTTTCATAAATGAAAAGACACTAATTTTAGCCCTCAGTTAGAAAAAACTTCACTGATCTTTGCGGTGCAAGGGGGAGCTATAAATATCATGAGGGCGTGTTAAAGGTGCCCAGTCTAGAAAGCAGATAAAATAATCTAAAATGTATCTCCTTAAGTCTTGTCATTAAGTCACAATTTGTAGTGAGGAGAAAATTGTCTTTTTTTTAATTAACCTTGCACTGACAGTACTGGTGTGGATATTATTCTTTTTACCTTATGTGGAGTCTGACAGTGGAAAACCTTTTTCAAATTTAATTTTAGCACCTGTATTCTACTATGTGTTTAAGATTCAGAATGAAAAATATGCTTTAAAGGACAGCCTGTATTACCTGCAAGTAATATACCTGTTAACAGAAATCATAGGATTGGATTTCTGTGTTGAGTTTAGTTTATGGAGAAAAAGTTAGAGGGTAAGGTAACCTGAGAGCAACCCCAGAGGAGCAGGATGTTGATGGGCTGCAGGGAGTTTTGTGGCGATCACAATGGCCAAACTGAAGGGAGCTGTAATAAGAAGCATCTTTTGAAGTGGACTGGATTAAAGTGACTTCTCAAGGAAAGTAGTTTAGTCTCTGAACTACTGCACTTTGACTGAGTGCAATTAGTGGGGAGGTAGCGTGTAGGAGGAACTTAAAGTCTTTGAGTAGTGAGAAGAAATGTTCTTCAAGGAAAAGGCTTTGTAAATGGTTCAGGAAACTGAATTGTTCTGGAAAGCTCAGAGTTAGATTTGCTCCTGATGGCAGGGAGCCACCACTTACGCAGCATCTGCCAAAGTGCACTCAGACTGGTTTGTATTTTGATAGCTCTTGCAGTAGAAAATTTCAGAAGAATAAGAGTCTTTGTCTAAAATAGATTTTTTTTTTCATATTTTTAATGGAATTTTGAGATACACTCCTTGAACAGACTGAGAGGTAAGTTTTCTCACCGAGAGAGCATGCACAAAACTTGTGCACCCTTTTTGTTTCAGTTTGGGGTCTTGCATGGGATTCAGAGACTGTGCTCACTAACCCTTGCTGGAATGGTGTGTTCCTGTTGATGCCTCCTCCCTCCCCACCCCAACATTTGGGACTTCTCCCTAAGCTGTACAGTTGTTGCCAGTAACCTTACCTGCCAGGAACTGATGTCCTCTGACACCAATTAAGGAGGAAGTTGCTGATAAAGAGTGGACAAACAATGTATTTTCTTGTTGAGCTCTGGCAAAAGCCTGGCACCCACCCCTGCCTGTGACTCCGCACGTTCACCCTCTCAGCTCAGTATTGGCAACGTTTGTTTGATTTCAAAGTGGGGAAGGAAATTTCACTTAAATAGGCATCTTGGATTTGACTACAATGACGTGCTTTCTAATGTTCTGGCAGAGGAGGAATACTACTTCTAAAAGACTGGCATTTAAGCCTTTCAAAGGAGAACAATTCTGTACTATCTTCTAGAGCTTAAAAACAGAAACGAGGAGCCTTCTCCTTCCCTTCTTCCATCTATTTCAGATTGGAGTGATATCACAAGCACTTTAAAGGAATGAAAATTTTAGCTTTGTAGTTATGATAATTTAGGCCTCTCATTAATTCATCTAGGTTGTATGAGGGAAGATAGTTTAAACGTGGTACCTTCCAAAAATACTAAAGAAGATGGGTGTCCCACTTACTGAAGGTCCATGGAAGCAATTTCACCAGGCTAGCATCTTACAAAAGAAGGGTGCTTGCTTTGTGTTTCCTCTGAAGCATCAGATAAGTTTCTTTAGGAAAATTCTGCAAAAGAATTATTTTGTTTTCAGTATAGGTAAAGTTTTGGCTGATGTTTGTACGTTTTTAACCTCCCATGCATTCTAAAAATACGTGCTGTCAAAATCATGATGAAAGGAAGAGCTGTGATGACTACCTTTATTTGTGAAATCAAGATGCCAAAAAAAAAAAGTAGTTAAGTAAGTAAGTTGCAGGAAGGCGTGAAAGTACCGGCAGCTGTTTCCTAGGCCTTAGCTTTGAGTAGGCTAATTTCCCCCCAATTTCAAGTGATGATTATTGTCTAGAATTTTACTTACCTTACATGGCAATTTAGGGGATGTTCAAGGGATGTGATTCACAACAGCTCGATCACGTATTATAGTCAAAGCTTATGACACTTCTGCTTTCCCATAGCAATTTTAGAGCTTCTCACTTCTGTTTCTGCATGAACTCTGTGCATGCTGGCATGTTTGCACTGTTTGAACTTCTGTGTGCTCCTGCCTGGGATGTGCTTTTCCCTAATAGTTTACTATCCCATATGAGAGAGAGCAGGAAATGTAGTGATTTCTACTGGTTGTGCAAAGCAGGACTCAGAGGAAACTTGGAGAAAGTCTGATAATTGACTTTTCATTGGTAAATTTAAAGTAGTCTCGTAAATAACAAAATTAAAAATTATATTTAGAGGTTGAGAATAGCCTCAGACAAAAAAAAAAAGAAAAAGCTGGTGCCTTAATGGTTTTGAAGGTTTCTTCCATTTTTTTTAAAAACAAAAATTGTTAAATAAAATTCCATCCCCTCCAAATGTTATCATTTTGTCAAATTGTTCTTTCTTTCTTTTCTTCCCCCCACCCCTTACTCTTCCTTTGCAGCAACTGGAAGCAGCAGCTGCTCGTGCTGCTGAGGAAGAGAAGAAAAGACTTCAGACTCAAGTTGAATTACAAGATCGCTTCAGTTTGGAGCTGGAGAGAGAAAAAATGGTGAGTAGTGCACGTGGGTTTTTGCTACGATTGCAGAGGGTGAGCAACGCGTTCAGCAGTGACTTCCCTCGCAGGCAGTCACTGAAAGGATTCTGCAGATTTTGCAGGAGCCTGGAAAATGCAACCTGTGTTGCATTTATTAGAGATGTAGGAATAAAATATTTTTACGAGTGAATTCAAATACCAGAACGGCTTGCTTACGATTTGTATAGCATTAGAAGTTTAAATATTATTGGAAAATTGGCTGTTTGAAGGATAAATGCAGATTGAAGTTATCCTTGCAGTTTTTGAAGATGGAGAGCCTAAGGCCAGTACTTAGTATATGAATATGCAAAATGAACACAGGCATAATCAAAATGCATTTTAGAAATTTTCTGACTTGAATATTTTCCTAAAACTATTGCTTTTTTATACTGTGTGTTCTTTTGGATTTACACACACACAACCTTAAATAAATAATGTAGCTTTACAGTGCTGTTACTATAATCCACATACGGAGAATTTACAAAAGAACTGATTTTCCATCTCATTTACACACACACAACCTTAAATAAATATTGTAGCTTTACAATGCTGTTACTATAATCCATACTGAGAATTTACAAAAGAACTGATTTTCCATCCTCAAGAGCTTTGTGTGCCGTGATGGGCTGTTCTGTTAGCGGGTGGAGTTGATGTGGTGGAAGGTTGCTTAGGACATAAATGCACACAGTGCTGCTTTTTGAGCTGAGTGTGAATTCCTGAATCCCATCCCTTTCTGGGTCAGTGGGATTTGGGTTGGCTGAGGGGAAGCAGGCTGCAGAGCAGCGGAGCGGGACATGCCATCCTCTCACACGTGACAGAAAGCCTTTCTTCAGGAGCTATGCTTACCTTCTGTGGAGTACACTTTATGTGCTGCTAAATGCTGAGGTTTTGGTGCTTTATCCCCACTCTGTTCAAAGCCAGCTGACTGCTCGTGTCCCCAGCGCAGCGATGGGCTGAGTGGGAGGACCACTCTGGTCAGCAAAATGTGGGGGATGAGGATCAGAGACTGGGTGACTGTGGATGTGCAGCATCCCCTCACCTTCCTCTATCCCTTACCGGTGTTTTTTGCAATAGTTGCTCTTTTCGGCCAGCTGACTGCTCTTGTCCCCAGCGCAGCGATGGGCTGAGTGGGAGGACCACTCTGGTCAGCAAAATGTGGGGGATGAGGATCAGAGACTGGGTGACTGTGGATGTGCAGCATCCCCTCACCTTCCTCTATCCCTTACCGGTGTTTTTCACAATAGTTGCTCTTTTCGTAGCCTCCTGAATCAGTTTCCAACCCTTTATCCATCCGGCTCTGTCAGGGTGCTATCATCCAGAGGCAAGTGTGTGAGATACACTGCTGCCAAGGGAGGACTTGCTGAGGGAAGGAGTGGAAACAGTGTAATTAAACCAGCCTGACCTCTGTGTCTGGGCACTCTACCAGCTTTCTCCTCCTTCAGTTTAGTGTAAACTAAATGACAAGTTCAAACTGATTGAAGTTGCCTTTAAAACCCTGTGAAAATCCTGTGCTGCATGAAGTAAGGCAATGTAAGTAACCTGTATCATTATTTATTTTTTTAAATGCTTTTAGTTACATATCTACAAATCTAGACTAAATTTTATCATTTTTGCTCTGGAGGCAGCAGGAAGAGCTTTGTCTCTAAAAATATTATCTGAGGGGAAACCTGGCAATTCCTTTAAAAATTGGAAACGCAAGTTGAACTGGCAGCTCATATGTGTCCTCAATTTATTCTGCTAGGTAAGACAAAAAATGGAAGAGCAGCTTTATCAGTTTTGCTCTGGAGGCAGCAGGAAAAGCTTTGCCTCTGAAAATATTATCTGAGGGGAAACCTGGCAATTCCTTTAAAAATTGGAAACGCAGGTTGAACTGGCAGCTCATATGTGTCCTCAATTTATTCTGCTAGGTAAGACAAAAAATGGAAGAGCAGGTTGCTCAGAAATCATCTGAACTGGAACAGTATTTACAGAGAGTAAGTGAACTGGAAGAAATGTATAAACAGCTACAGGAAGCTCTGGAGGATGAGAAGCAGGCACGTCAGGATGAAGAGACTGTAAGGAAGCTCCAGGCTCGGTATGGCTTTGACATAGTAGAAATGTATTTCAATTCCCCACTCCCCCTTGCAATAATAAGTAACTATGCTGTACTATAATAGATTGTTTGCATCTGGAAAGAGGGACTAGTTGAAGTCCAAACACAGGATAGATTACTTTTTTTCCCCCTTAAGCTATGAAGGCTTAAGGTGGCTTTTTTTTAATAAATATGTTTGATTAGGCCTTAGCAGTGGGAGTGCTTAGCAATTTCAGAAAAGCAGGTGCACTTACTTTTCCATCAGGTGTTGTGCTTGTTGACATTTAAAAAAAACAGAGACCACTCTGTACAGACTTTTCAATTGTGTATTTTATAAAGCAGTATCTGTAAATAAGACTTTCTGCTGTATTTTATCACAGGTTTAAATTGTAATGGATAAAGGGTTAGGTCTTCTCTTACTCATATGGGCTTTGTTTAGTGTGGTTTGTTTCTTCATCTATTCAGTCCTCCTAAGACAATGAAGATAACTTACGCATGCCTGTTTCTTCTGTGGTTTGCAGTGCTGGGTATTTGCATTATTGACTACATTTTGTGAATAGCCCTTTGTAGCAGTCAGACTGCTTGCACTGCTGGCATGATTTTCAGTTTGCGCTGAAGACAAGCCAACAAGCAATAACTTTTTCCCTGCTTTCCAAGCTTGCTTTTTTTTTTTTAATAGAAAAAGGAAAGAAAATAATTAGTTTGGCTTCCTGACATGTATGTTACATAGTGGATACATCTTAACTTTAAAGCACGGTTAACATCACAATCCCCGTTGCAGGTTACTGGAAGAGGAGTCAGCAAAGAGAGCTGAACTGGAAAAATGGCACTTGCAGCAGCAACAGACCATTCAGATGACAGAAGCAGAGAAGCAAGAGCTAGAAAACCAGAGAATGATAAAGGAAAGGGCTCTTCAAGTTGCTATGCAGCAACTGGAACAACTTGAACTGGAAAGGAAGGAAGCCCTTGAGCAATATGAGGTGAGCTGTTCCGTTCATCACCCTCTCATGCTTAGCCAGGTGCTCAGGAGTTTAACTGAATTTGAAGTTCATCAATGTCATGCTTCTTTAAGGGTTAGTATGGCAGAAAAATTACAGTAACAGATAGGATAGTTATGTGTGGGGTTTTTTGGCCTAGACCAGTAGATAGGTTTGAAGAAGGGGACATGTTTCAGACACATCACCTCCTGTCTTCTTTTGTCCCAATTTACATGCAAGCCCGCTCAGTCATATCCTGAAATACTAACTGCTTAGGCAGTCCCGCTGCTGTCATAACAACTAAATGCCCTATGATTTTGAATTAATATTCTTGTAATGTTTTGATGATGGCATGGGGCAATATTGTCTTTTACAGATGAAAAAAATCAATGTGCTACTGTAGGCCCTTGCTCCTCAAAAAGGTATTTAAGTACTGAACTGATGTCAAGGAGAGCTAGGAAATTAGCTCAGACTCTCAATGTGTAGCAGCACCTCACCTCCCAAATGGCAGGCCTGTTCTCTGCTCCACTGAGTGTTTTTGGGGAAGGCCAGTAGCTGTATTCATGGAAGAAATATGAGGCAGTGAGTACAGAGCCTGAAGTGCTACCTACTTTCTAGGGCTTGGGAGGTGTTGATCCTGCGTGTTTTTAGGTCAGAAAACAAAACATGAGTGGATTTGTGTTGAACTAGGGAGTGTATTTGTGCTGTCTCTGTGCCCCTGAGGTTTGCTCTGTGAAAGACGAGCTCGTGAGCTGTCTTGGCTGGCACAGAATACAAATGGTGCAGTGACTGCGAGCAAGGGCCCAGGTGGGGCAGTTCTGGCCACTTTACAACTTAAGTGTTGGTGTTACATCTAACACCATCATTAGATCTCCAAAGGAATTGCTGACATTAAACTGACATTAAAAAAACCCCAAACAGAAAAACAACCAAACAAAAAAAATTCCACAAAACACATGATGGTGTAAGTCACTGTGATAGTTGACTTACTATTTTAGAAATAAATAAACATTCTGGCCTTCTATTTGGAATTGACCAAAAGACCAGTTTACCCTGAAGAACACCTCTTTCTTGCCTGGATGTAGCTGCAGCGGTCCTTTTCATAGCTTATATTTTATGATTTCTGATAGTGAAAGACACCCACTGGCTGGGCTTAGCTGGGAACAGAAAATGCATCTTTCTGTTTTGAATCTACAGTTTATGTTTTTGGTGTTCAGGAAGACTAGCCCTCCTTATGCAGCTACACAATCTTGTAACACCTAGGGTTTTTTTGGATTCTGGTTTGACAGCTTACTTTTTACAGCTAGCGATGATTAAATTACTTAAGATAGTTAGAAATTAAGTTCTCCTGTCTACACTAAATGAAGTGCTTGCTGAATGAGTGTGGTTCTGTCTTTAGATTAAAAAGGATGCTTTTTCTTTTGATATAAACAGAGTAAAGTTGTTCTTGTTTTCAAGTGGGCTGTATCTTATTTCAGGAGGTTAAGAAAAAGTTGGAAATGGCAGCTAATAACACCAAGAGTTGGAAAGATAAAGTAGCTCATCATGAGGGATTAATTCGACTAATAGAGCCAGGTAAGTTATTAACAGAAGAGTTACAAAAAACACGTATTCATTCTGTCTCATCTACTAGAAATCACCTAGTGATTTACTGGTCTGCCTCTTCCTGTAACTGACTGGTTTCGTGGCAGCCTATAAATACCACATTCGTGAGAACTGCTGATGGTAACTGTCAAGTCTGTACTTCTACTGGCCCTTCTGTAACAATTAGGGGGTTTATTATTCTTGTTTGTTTACTTATTTAAAACAAAGCAAGGATTAACTTGAACATTGAATGGTTTTGGTCTTTAATGAAGTTAGCATAATTGCTAATTGCCAAAAACATGAAGTAAAGATAGCTACGATATTTGATTTTTGTAAAAAGTTTAATTTCTTAGCTTAATTAATAGCGTGCCAGCCCAGAGGAAAGTGGCTTTGTAACGAGTTACAAAAAACACGTATTCATTCTGTCTCATCTACTAGAAATCACCTAGTGATTTACTGGTCTGCCTCTTCCTGTAACTGACTGGTTTCGTGGCAGCCTATAAATACCACATTCGTGAGAACTGCTGATGGTAACTGTCAAGTCTGTACTTCTACTGGCCCTTCTGTAACAATTAGGGGGTTTATTATTCTTGTTTGTTTACTTATTTAAAACAAAGCAAGGATTAACTTGAACATTGAATGGTTTTGGTCTTTAATGAAGTTAGCATAATTGCTAATTGCCAAAAACATGAAGTAAAGATAGCTACGATATTTGATTTTTGGAAAAAGTTTAATTTCTTGGCTTAATTAATAGCGTGCCAGCCCAGAGGAAAGTGGCTTTGTAACACAGTGCTGGAGAGATCCCTTTCCTTCAAGGACATCTCTAAAGGCAAGAAGGAGAAGGGTTTACTAAGATACAACTGTTTGGGGTGAGGGGGGGGAGTTTGGAGATAAAGATGCAAAAGACAGCAGCAGTTCTCACATTAAGCACCTTCCCTGATGGTGTCCCAGAGACTCCTTCCTCCTTGGTTAGGCAGGTCCTCAGGTCACCCCTGAGAGGGTGACAGCACTTACCAAAGCATCTTGTGGTGACGCTCGTCCTGTCCCCCTGATGGTGGGTGAGCAATGTCTCTGTCAGAAATGCCTGTTTCAAGCATTGCACTCTGTCTTCCAGGCTCCAAGAATCCTCACTTAATCACAAACTGGGGCCCGGCCGCCTTCACTGAAGCTGAACTCGAGCAAAGACAAAAGAGCTGGAAAGGGAAAAAAGCCACTTCTGAGTGACGCCGGCAGCTGAACGTGCTGTTTGTAAACAGAAGCCCACCTTCATTCATTCTGCTTTGCACAGAGCAGCTTCTCGCTTATAAAGATCTTAGTTTGCTCAGCAGGTTGGGCCTTGCTATGAAGGAAATACTGTTTACCACACAGGAGTGTCTATTCAGAGCTCATTAATTACAATATGTGGTGTCTGACAGGACTTGCTGTTTTCCCTCACGTTTCCTGAAATTACGTTCTTTTGTATAAAACTTCTCAACTGAAGATTTTTATTTAAATGTAGCTTGTGACAGAGTTGTTTCTGTACCAGCCGGTAACACGCTGACAGCATCTAACCAATCAAGCAGCATCACTGTCATTCCAAAACGTGAGGGAAGCAATAATTTCATTGGTTCAGTTGTTATAATTTAAACCCAGGATAAATTGATCCAGGAGGTTCTGTCCAACTCTGGGATAGAGCATTACCTTTCCTTCCATTGACTCTCCTCCTATTTTTGCTCTGTCTGTTGCTCTTTGCACGGTGCTTGGTGCTCAGATTAAGTTCTTCCTTAGCGAGGGCAGACTGGCACCACCGGGTACTTGCTGGCTGGTCAGATTTTGTGTCCTGTTCTCCTCTGTTTGCAGGAATCCAAACAACAGAACTGGAAATAGACAGCTACAAAATACTGCTGTAAAACCTTTGGGAAAAGCAGTTATGCAAGATTGTCTCATACTTGAGAAGTGCTTAAAAAACTTGAGAGTTCTCTTCATAGTTGTAAAGCGCAGAGGTTTGACTCAGAGATTTCTGGAGCAGATGAATGGAAGGTGATAGCACCTACAGGCCAAGGGTCGTCTGCATCAAGGCTATGTTTGTGCAAGAAATCTGATTATAACATACTGCTGGGTTAGATGCAGCACATTTGTGGTATTCTTAATTGGAGGAGATTTAAAAAAATGCAAGAGGAAAACTAAATTTTAGATTAAAATGATAAATGTGTAGCAATAACGCTTTAGAAAAAATTAATCCCCATCAGTAAAATAACTTCCACATTTCTAGTAACAAGGCTTCCCAAAGAGCCTACTGCTCTGCCTCAAAATTCGCTCCAGGGACAAAGCCAGTTATTTCTGTTTCTGTAGGGAAAAGGAGCAAACGTGATTTTGCTTTGTAGACCTCCCACAGCAGACAAGATTTGTCGTATTCTTAATTGGAGATTTAAAAAAATGCAAGAGGAAAACTAGGTATTCTTAATTGGAGGAGATTTAAAAAAATGCAAGAGGAAAACTAAATTTGACCTTTTTATTTTAGATTAAAATGATAAATGTGTAGCAATAACGCTTTAGAAAAAATTAATCCCCATCAGTAAAATAACTTCCACATTTCTAGTAACAAGGCTTCCCAAAGAGCCTACTGCTCTGCCTCAAAATTCGCTCCAGGGACAAAGCCAGTTATTTCTGTTTCTGTAGGGAAAAGGAGCAAACGTGATTTTGCTTTGTAGACCTCCCACAGCAGACAAGGAGCCAGTCTATTGCTAAGTAAAACTGTATTTTCGTAATTGTACAGATAGATATTTTGAGAACTGAGTGCCCCCCTCTCCCTGAAGAGCAGGTGCCATCAGTGTGGCTTGTTAGTCAGCTTTGACCTCTGTACGTACCCGACCATGGACATCCAACTCTTATTGCCTGCTTTTAGTTCAGCTAAATGTTAAATTATTTTTTAGTAAATAAGAAGTGAATGTTTCTAATGGATAACCAGTGCATTTGTGTACAGCATTGTGATACTTGGATCTCAGAAGAGCAGAAGCTGTACAGAAGGGATCTTCAGATTTGGAAGTCAATAGCATTTTTTATTTGCCTATTAACTAAGACTCATTCAAATACTGAATGTTCTCAGACATTTATACTCTGGTTACATTTTTATACTAATTGAAATCTTTAATGTTTAAGTAAATGGAGTGCTGATTAGAATGGCAGGAAAATCCAGGATCTTCCTATTTGTATTTACTGTACAGGAAAGCAGTAGTTCTTTAAACTTGCTAACAAGGCATTTTTAAAATTGATTATGTTTACAGAAGAAATGTGAAAAAATAAAAAACTGTAATAGAAATACTAATGTATACATTGTTAAACTGTAGGAGATGACCAGTGTTTATAACTACCAAACATCTTTTATGTGAAGAGCAGAGGTGCATTGGGGCTAAACTTGTTTAATTTTTCTAACAGTCTTTATTTTGGACAAAAGTTGTTTGTTTTTTTTTTTTTAAGAACACCAAATGATGCATGTTTTCATATTTTTTACTGTTCTTTAGAATTGGCTATTTAATAAAGTAATACAAAGTCATTTACATTTCTGAATTAATTGATGTCTTTCTTTTGGCATGGGTTTCTTTTGAGTTACTGGTGTTCAGAATCCAGTAACTGTTGTGTAGAAGTATTGCTGTGATGGGAGAAATAAGTTCTTAGTGGTCTGATCAATGGGATTTGGATTAATGCCACAATAAAGGCAGTGGTGATATGGATAATACAATATAAGCACCCCTTCTCTTACAGGTTCAGCTAATAACACCAAGAGTTGGAAAGATAAAGTAGCTCATCATGAGGGATTAATTCGACTAATAGAGCCAGGTAAGTTATTAACAGAAAAGCTCAGCAGCACAAAGCAGGCTGGGTGGGGGATTAATTGATACAACAGGCAAATCTGCAGTAGCACACTGAGGATTAGATTTTACCCTGGAAGCAGGACAGACCCCCTCTGACAGAACCTGGCTGCAGAGTGTGGGTACCTCAGCACAGACAGATGTGTGCCTCTGCAGGAAAAACAGCCCCTCATTAAAATGTCATCTGCATACGTCTGTCTTAGTTATTTATTTCTTAGTCACTATTAGAAGAGGAAATGAGACAAGTCTCCTTTTAGCTTTGTTGCCCCTGCTTGCTCTGACAAATTAAGAAAGCTTTGTGTGAAGTGCTGCACAGTAAAAGGGGGGGAAGAGGATGGTTTAAAAATTAACTAATTGCATTTTGAGCAAAAAAAAAGTACTTTAGATTAAGTAAGTCCATTAGAGCTATACTGAACATAGCATGAGTCAGTCACTACATCTCACAAAGCATGGAAAACTGCAACCCCTGGTCCAGTATCCTATTCAATCCCCAGCACTCATTCCAAGAAACCAAGGAGACTGCTACTGGTGAGGATGCCCTCTCAATGAAACATGGTGCTATGGCTATCACCATCCTAGTGCCTTACCAACATACCAGGCTTTCCTGTGCAGCTGCCTCAGCAGGATGCACTGAAGAGCTCAGTCCGATTCAGGCTGCTGATGGTGGAACACTCCTGCAAACCAGCGGCGCGGTACCATCTTGTTTCCTCCTAAAACAAGAAGGTTTGGTTTGTTGGGGTTTTTTTGTTGCCCTGTGACCATTTTATGAAGCTGATTTATGAGACACACACACTTATGCACACATTCCCAAACACTAACAGCCCAGTTTCCAGCAACTTGTATTCCTTCTGTTCAACTGTCCTGCACAAACAGCCACAAAAGCAAAGCCTATTATATGGGAAAAGCAGCAATGTGTTAGGCTAAGCTCTGCATCCTGGGGCAAGCTGAGGGGGGAAGAGGGCAGGGCAGGTGGGGCAACAGTGGTCACATCAGCCATTTCAGTAAAAAAAGTGAACTGAAAATAACCGCTCTGATTTTTATCTCAAATATGTGAAGCAGTTAAGCATACAATTTTTGAGCAAATCGGTGCACGGCCAGGAAAGGGGATCTCTGTAGGGGCTTTTAGCTGCTTGGGGGACAGAGGTCATTATTTGTTCATAAAGGGCACAGAAGTGAGGCAGTATAATAATGCCATAAAGTTGTCATCTCTAATAGAAGGAAAATCTGCAACACTAGCAAGATTTTAGTTCCCCCACTCATCAATTAGGGACTTCCCAACTTTTCCTGCGGGTTGTTTGGTAATTGTGGCTCTCATTTGATATTTTATTGTACTATTTTATATTTTAATCTTTTGGCGTCACGGTGGGAGCCCCCCCCAGCCCCATCCCCGCCTCTCCCCGCCCGGCTGCTCCCTCGTCCCGGGGTGGGTGGGCGGCAGAAGCTGGACCTGAAGGTCCTGTCTCATCTCTGGGCTCCAGCTGCCACCTGCTGGTGGCTCAGGCGTCACCGGCGGGGGCTGCTTACCCGGGGATGGGGCCCGAGACGATGGAAACCCCCCTTCAGCTTCATTGGCCGGCAACGACTGCAGAGAAATACAAAAAGGCTGGAAAAATGTTAAAGCCCAGCACGTCTCCCCGTGTATTACAATTACCTCACTGCCGTCGTTGTAGCACGTTGTCGTTCTTGAGTTCTTGAGCCAGTTGTGCTCTTCTGTTATCTAAGTACATGTGGTCCCAGAGATGTCCCATGAGCCTAGGAAAAAGGATTTTACACTCCGAGCGTTACCACTGGCTAAGGATAAATTTATGTTCAGAGCCTCGAAGCTAATTCAGGCATATTTAAAAAAATACAACCCACCACACCACAAAGTAAAGCGTGGAGTCGGATACACCATCCAGAGAGCTCTCGGCTGCAGCACAAAGCTGGGGCTTCCAAACAGCTTCTCTGATGGGAGTAAAGCTGGGCAAGGAAAAACCTATGTGTAAGGAAGGTTACTCACCTGTAAACAGTGTTTTGCCAGGTGCCTCCTTTATCCCTCACCCCCACACCCTTCTCCCTCCTCCTACTGAAAGGAGCTCGTTGACTTGCAGGATAAAAAAGCCCCGAGGCTGCAGGTGTGGGGCTGAGAGAAGGATGTGCAATGTGCCAGCTCACACGTACTCCCCTTTTGAGAGCAGGAGTCAGGCTCATCCCTTCAAGTTACAAGTGAGGGAGGAAAAGAAAAAAAGAAAAGGGAAAAAAAAAAACCCAAAAAAAAGAGACCAGCCTGTGGTTTGAAACGCTCTGGGGCTCCTCGCCTGGCAGCCACACAGGCATCGTGTCTTGAGGACGACTGTTGCTGCTAATGTGGCCACGAGTTCCAAAATAAAATGCAAACAGAAAGTTTGTGACACTACATGAATTTAGAGACTGTCACGACTTTCATGCATGGAGTCTCTGCTGTGAACTTCAACTACTTGGAAATGCCAGGGAAGTGAAAGTGCAGGAAAGCACTGTTTTATGAACTGGCTTTCTGTGTAAGTCAAAAGAGCACAACCTCCAAAAACTGGCAAGGCCAGTGGTTGTTTTAACACCCAGGATGAAAAGAAAAGGATTGGAACAATGTAGCTCCTTCTCACCTCCAAGAGAAATTAAAATTGAAACAGTAAGCAAACAAACAGCAAAACAGAAGATAAAAACATCCTGAAAAGTATTGAGAGGGAGATTTAACGAGGCAGTTTAACATCTACAAGCACAATCCTGGAAAGATCACTTGACGAGAGATCCTCTCCCCCCTTCTTTCTGATATTTTAGCCTAATTGACAGAGGTAATGTAAAAGGATATGAGCAGCTGGCCAGAGAAGAACCCATAATAGACCAGGCAGAATGTTAACAAAATGTAAAAAAAAAAATAAAATAAAAATCACAAACCTCAGAACAATTGTACTCACTTTTCCCCATTGGCCATTATTTTAAAGTCCTTAATAAATAAAACAAACACACCAAAAAAAATTACCCTTTCTACCTTAGTCAGCATACTCATTGCTCACATGGCTCTTCTGCTTACCCAAGAAGCTTGCTCTAGCATCAGCTTTACACACTGCTATTAATATCATCAATAATTAATAGAGCAACTTGTCACAGCCACAGCACAGAAACAGCTTTTACAGGACCTGGGCCTAATGTTCTCGTGCAAATGCTCACCTGCTGTTCCTCCTGTTGTTGCCTGTTTCTGAGCACAGGACAGTGATGTGCTCAGGCGATGCAGGTTTCACCACCCAGGGTGTTTGTGAGGACATCCGAGTGCGATTCGCACAGGTCTGAGTTGGCTGCTCTTGCCCACAGTTGCCCAAGGCACCTGTGTCTTTTCACCTCACTTGACCAATAAGTCTAATCTGAACATGTTAGTATCTCAGACGGGATTAAAAACTCAAGCATTGACATGAGACAGTTTCAAAAGCCGCCTGGGCGTCCTCTGTGTTGACATTTAGCTGTTTCACTGCCTACCAGAGCATGGGGATTTCTCCTTCCACTCCAAAGAGGCTTGTGCAGCTCAGCTCCAACACAGTGTGCAAGTGCTGGGGAAGTCCAGGTACCCCGGGGTGTTGGTTCTTCGGTCCTGACTCAAAAAGGAAAAAAACACTTAAAAAACTATTTAAGGTCAGACTCTGCTTAGATACCTTTAGAAACTCCCTCTCATGGCATAGCTGGAACTGAAATTTTGCATGTGGAGCAGCCTGAAGTTGTGTTTTCCTAACTATTTCCATTGCCAGGGATGCATCGGGCCATTTCACTCTTTCCAAGCCACAGGGCTGACCACCATGTCTGCCTGTGAGAGAGGATCATGCCCCACTTCACAGACAGGCTTTCCCCCTGCCAGAAAGAGTGTGTTGGCCCCAGGCTGTTTTTAATGAGAGAGAAGGTGGGAAATGATGGGGGGGTGGGGTGGGTGGGTGTCTCACACAGGTCCCCCCTCAAAAAGCTGAGTGCTGCGCTGGGCCTCATGCACTCAGTGTGGGGTTGCTCACTGTGGGGATGGAGGTGGCATCTGCTGCACTTACTGTTTTGCTTTAGCATGGCCATTGCCTGCCATTGTGAGGGTTGCACAATGTTCAAGGGGGTCACTGCTGGCCCATGGAGCATCCAGAGGAGATGGCTGGCCAGAAACCAGCACCACCCCACGCCTGGTCTCACAGCGTAGGCGTACGTGGCCCTGCTTGCAAAAGAAACTTGTGTGCCCGTGCTCCTGTGTGCTCCCTTCACTGTCACCATTGCAGATGGCAAGACCCAAACCCACAATTGCTCTCAGGCCACCTCTGTCCAGCAAATCCTCCCCGCCAGCAGGAAAAATTCCAGAGCATATAGTACTTGAAATGATATTTCCAAGGGATGGGTGGCCAAGGGCTGGGTGCAGGCATGGCGTGCAGTATGAGAGGCAGCATGGCAGAACAGTGCACTAAGGGAAAAGGGAAAAAGGGAAAAAGGGAAAAAGGGAAAAGGGAAACCACACTGGGTGCTAAACAGCCCCACTGGGCCAAGCTGATCCCCAGCATTTCTGCTGTCTCCGCAGAGCACGGACCGGTCCTGCAAAGCTTCAGAGACAGTTCTGTCTCTGCCTCCCCTCCTCACCCTACTCTGACCAGACACTCACCCCTACTGGTGTCCCTGCCACTTGGCTGACAGCGTATCACTTTTACCACCCAGAAAATCAGATGTCCCTCAGATTGGTGCAGCTATTTTAGCAGAAAGCTCCAGGCAAGTGCTTGGCCCAGGGCAGGGCGCGCCGAGCCCACACCACCTCCCGGCGAGCGGTGATGCACGACCACTCGCTGCGCTCCCAGCTTGCCCTTCTCTCATTTTGATCTCACCCCTCCTGATGAGCCCCAACTCCCTACGTGCCAAAGCAGGGTGAGAAGACTGACACGATTTTTCCAAAGCCCCCGGCAAAGTTCTGGGACCCGGAGCACAGGACTGGGCCAGCTCCTGCCTCAGCAGGCCGGCCAGGCAGCGGCAGCTGCTCCCCCAGAGACGGGGAGAACAATAAGAAATACCAGATCTGCCGCAGGAATGCGGGAGATACCGTGGCGGGGGGCCCTGGTGAGTCTGGGCAGGATTTGCTCACGGCTTGGAGGCAGACCAGAGGTTGCCACTTCAACCGCCCTGTCGCCGGGCCGGGGTGACTTGTGGGGGGGTGCGTGGCGGGGCCCTGTCCCGCCGTGGCCCTCGACGCCAGATGGCAGCCAGACACCGCCGCACGGCCCTCCCAAACCGCTCAGGGGAGCGCGGCCGCTCCTCGGCAGGCTCCTAATTAATCACATCTGCGGATCCTGTTTTGAAGGGCAGACTCACACAGATGCGGTACCACACGGGTGTTTTACAGCTGAGCTGGTAGCACGCTTGGAGCTGCGTCACTCGCCTACGTGCAGCAACACACTGCTACTGCAGGAGGAAAATCCCACTCTTCCTCTGCGAGGAAAGGCCACGTAACACCTAACCAAGACCTTTCCTTAGGGTTTGGATGACTTATCTCACTAAAGAAAAGCCAGGACCAGGCAAATTAGGAGCGACAGGGCTGCCAGCATACCCAGTCATCACAGCTTGGTGGGCTTCCATCTGACTGCAAAGCCAGAGCAGCAGCGATGCAGCTCACCCCCAACGTGTGCTGGGGGCACACTGGTTACCCTGCTTTATTCAGGTGACTGAAACCAGGGTCTGCGCCCTCAGCTGCAAAGGCCTAACACTAATTTGAGAGTCACACAGTTCCTCTGTTGGGTAACATTTTCCCTCAACAATTTATGAACTTTAATCCACTTTTGAAATGTAGGGGAGGCTAAGTTGGATTACATTAGCTTAACTGCTCATGTCATAAACTCTTGAGAAGTGGGACTGGAGTTTTTTTTCCTCCAGAAACCTTTTGTTGGCCCACAAAATACTTGTTTTTTTTTCTTAGCTCAGACACCAAAAGGGGGAGTTTTCAGCTTCCAAAAATAAATCAAAGACACCACGATGCCTGCAGGGTATTTGTTTCTCCATAGGAACGTGAACCTGGTGGTTTAGTTTAAGAGAGACTAAGCTAACTCTCACATTTTCTACATTCCTCTTTTTCCTAATATATCAAGATCGACAGGTTTGAACTGTTGTTTTAATGAAAACCTACTACTCCTGAGAGGGTTTCCTGTTTTAGAAAGATGATATTTCAGAGCTACAAAATTCCAAATAATTTGACTTGCTATCACCTTCGTCAGGTCCCTTAACCTCCTTATGCCTCAGTTGCCCATTGATGAAATATGAGTGATATTTACCCATTAAAAAAAAGCATACAGACATCTGCAAAATACTCATCTGTCCCTAAAAAGAGAGCTTTTAAAGTGATACCATGATAAACTGAAATTTCTTCCACAAGGTACAAATCAGAGTTTGCTGTGTGAGGCCTTGGAAAACGCTATCCCTGCATGACCAGAGCCCCTGTGGCATCATCCCCTGCCAGCCCCTCACAGGGGCACCTCCAGCTCCTCCATCTTTATGCATGATCCCTGGTGGCCAGAAAACCTCCTCTGAGCTCTTGGGTAACAACCACAAATTGAAGCAGCCTTTAGCTCTCTAATTAACTGGAGCTAAATCACCACATAGCTACCCCCAAAGTGTCAGGAAAATTAAGCCAGTAGTCATAAAGTCATGCTGTGCTCCAGCCAAGCCCTCTTTCATCATCTCTAATTCAGGCTGCTGAATCAGTCCCAGGTAGGTTTTCCCCTCCCTTTTGTGCATGTGGAGCCCCAGAAACATCCTGGGGTAAATATAAACATGCCTGACCTGGAAACTCCATCTCTGGACAGTTTTCAGAGCTTAAGCTCTGCAAATCAGAGCAACAATTCTGCAGACTGGTGCAAATCACTTGTTGAAGACACGAATATTTGTATTAAACTTGCAAGTACAACACAACTCCCTGAATATGTTTTGGGTCTTGGAAACTGATCTTGAGCTCCCAGTGTTGTTAATTCTGCAATCCAAAATGCTTTTTTTCATGTCTACTAAAGGCAATTAGGATTTTCCAACTGTTCTAACAATTAAGAAGCTCTACTATGTAAAAACACTTTCTTGTGTTACAAAAGTTTCCCTGAATTGTAAAATGCATTACAAAGGGGAGGCAGTCAGTCCCTTGTACACTGCTTGGGCTGCTCTCCTGGCAGAAAATGACCACTGGCAGCTTGCAAGGCATGGAAAAAAGACTTATCGCCCAGATCCTGGAAACACAGTCAAAGCTGCCTTAGCTGGGCAAATAGGCACTGATTTCTCAGCACTAGTCCCTGGAGGTAGAGGTCTGCTGACGTCAAGGCTGGGGTTGTTATTGCAGGGCTCACAGCCCTTAAAACATTTTATCTGCAAGCCCCAGCCCAGTCCACTGCAGAGAAAAGCTCTCCAAATGCTGCTGATAGGGACGGCTGGGACATGAGAAAGTGGAGTGCTCCCCACACCTCCCCACTCACCTGCTCCAACTGTGCAGCAGCATGATTCAGGGATCTCTGAAATATCCGCTTCGAGAAGCCAGTTGCTCTCCCGTTTCACTCAGAAATCCTCCTGGAACATTGCTGCTTCCTGTCTGAACGCCTCTTCTAAAGCCAGGTTTTCTTCCTGCTATGCCAAAGGAGCCTCTGAAAAAGGAAAAGTCGGCAAAGTTCAGGAAAGTGCTTATCTGATATGCAAAAGCTCACAGGTGCAACATGAAGGAATGTACAATGCTCAGGATTACATGCCCATCAGGAAAATGGGAAGCCACTAATAGTTTTCAAAGCTAGACTCTCACTTTTGAGGAGACTTGAAGATTCCTTTTATCAGGGAACGTTTCCTGATAATTTCTTACAGAAAGTGCATTGCTCTTATCCCTTTGCATTTCAGGTAGATGAAGCACTTCATGAGTTGCTCGCTGCCCCACTGCTCAAGGGCAGGAGTAACTGGGTTTTTTGGTGGTGTGGGGAGGCTGAGACACCAACTTGCTGGCAGGGCTGGAGCAGAGCACAGGCTGACCAGCCCTGCAGTGGTGCATGCGGGTGGTGGGATGGCGTATCGCTGCCCCACAGAGCTGCCAATAAGCTGCTTCACTTTCCGGTGCAGCAGCACAAAGCTGCACGTGGGCTCATTTTCTGTTTCCCCCTGTTCTGCGACGCAGACATCCCCGGGGTCCCAAAGTCACAGGATGAAAAACTCATCCTTCCTTTTGGCCCAGGTCCTGAAGAGACATATGCACATGCTTAGCGTTGAGCACGTGAGCAGCAAGGCTGATCTCTGTGGAGCAATCCACATGCTTGAGCCTCTGCACGTTTGGGAGCGGGGGAGAGAAGGACACTTGGTTCTTTGGTGGCCTGTTTTACATACCACTGGTGGAAATCCCACCCAAGAGAGAGCTGTGCAGCAGGATGGCGCTGAGCTACGCGGCTATTTTTATTTCCATCGCTCGTGGCCTTGCTGAGACCTGCTCCGAATTATCTGGGATATTATACCCTAGACGAGTCGAAACAACAGGTCTTGCTGCAGACTGTCTGTGTTTAGTGGGATGATTTAGTTACTGCTTTCCCCCCACCCCGTCTTCTTCCTTATTCCCATTAGTGACACGTTGGCTGCAGAGAAAAGTTATTCATGCTCTAGAAATGTAATATTTACTCAAAACAATTTTTATTTGGCTTGGCTTCTTCCCAGTGCCATAAAGTGATAGCCAACCCCAAGTGCTTACATAGACAACATGTGCATCTGAGTCATATTTATGATCCCAGTTATAAAAAGCACACAATCTTGTTGTTTGGTGCAATAGGATGGGACCAAAGGCATCAGCACGTCTTGAGCATAGCCTGTCTCTGGAATCTGCAAAAATTTGCCATGCTCCAAATTTAGAACTTGTGGGTGGAAGCTCAGACAGGAGCCAACTTTTTATACCATTACATCACAGGAATTGAGGGCTTCGTGCCAAAGGATCCAAGGAAATTAATAAAGAGCAGAGGCTGTCCAGCTGTTTGAATTTAAAGTCACGGCAGAGAGGTAATTATTAATAAGAGTGGCTTTATTCAGAGCATAGTAATCTCATTGCTTAAATTGAACATATCCCCTCTTTACTGCAGCTTACTATTCTGTTGGAACTTGTAAAGATAATAGTAAGGAATTAACATCTGTAAGAGATAGGCCCAGTGAAGCCGAGATCGTTCTCGATAGAGGACACGCTTCAGTGATAATTTTCCAGCTAAGAAATGCTCTGTGAGTGCACGCGTTTGCCACTGGCATCACTGCTCCCCTGGCTGGAGGGGGTGGCTGGAACGTGGCGTGCATTTTTCCAGCTAAAACACACAAGGTCTCACATGGACAGCGATCAAAGCCATATCCAGCTAATTTGAAGAGTAATTCAATTTGTTTGACCTCCCCGCGCTGGGGGCAGCCAGCGTAAGCTCAAATGTCACAGCCTCCCAGGGGTCGATGGTAAAGCATCAGGGCCTGTGAGGCTCGGGGTGACCCACCTGACCTTCCAGCTGGTTTGGGAGGCTCTGTGCATGCCCACAACCCCGGTGGTGAATGGCCCTGTGTGCAGAGCATGGCTGTGCCTTGGGTAAGGGCAGTGCCCATGCTGGGAGGGGACCATTACCTGCCTCCTGGCAGATCATGGAGCCCAGGTCTGCTAGATTCTGCTTTCTGCATCTCAAAAAGCACAGCACAGGTGACAGGCTCCAACAGCCAACCTGCAGCCCTCAGAGGGACAGGCTCCACAGGGAAAAAATACTGGGTCTGCACACAGAAAGGGGTCATGGGGTCTAGGTGCTGAGACTTTTCATGCTAAGGGCTGAACGCAGGCTTGCCACAAAACATATAGCCAAGAGAATACAGCAGCATCTTTGGAAAGGGGGCATCCCTGATGCTTAAACCACAGAAATGCTGATATGCAGCTTCAGAGATTTCATAGAATCATAGAATCATAGAATTGCCCAGGCTGGAAGGGACCTCCAAAGGCCATCTAGTCCGACCTCCCTGCAGTCAGCAGGGACACCCCCAACTAGACCAGGTTGCCCAGCGCCTCATCGAGCCTCACCTTGAATATCTCCAGGGATGGGGCCTCAACCACCTCCCTGGGCAACCTGTTCCAGTGCTCCACCACCCTCACAGTAAAGAACCCTCTCCTGCAGCTTATACTCTTCTCAAGGGTATACAAAAGCTATGAAAAATTTAGAATTTAGCTCTGGGTTCTCTAGGAAGTTCTCTATTCCCATTTTACAGATAAACAAACTGAGGTGGGAAGCAACTAAAAGCTTCTTCACCGGAGCGATACTGTTGGAGTTCCCAACAAGACGCTCCTGCACCCACAGCTATCACATCGTGCTTGCACATGTTTTTCTTGCAGCAGCACATACCAAGCAGCTTTACACATCCATGCCTCACCAGGAGCCAGCACGCTATCACATCGTGCTTGCACATGTTTTTCTTGCAGCAGCACATACCAAATGGCTTTACACATCCATGCCTCACCAGGAGCCAGCACAGCAAAGACCAGGACCTGCAGCTCCCAACATCCCCTGTTTTGGTCTAAGCACCTACCCACATACGGTATCCCTTTCTGCAGGGAGAACAGATCCAAAAAAAAAAAAAAAAAAACCAAAAGAAAATCACTTCAACCGTGTGTCCACTGGTGACAATTTCCATGATGGGAAGAAGACAATTACTGGTAGGGAAAAGGAAGTGATGAATAGCAGAAATCAGGTCATTCTCCATTTCTTAAATATGGTGTTTCCACTGGCAACACAGGCATGTGTGTGCAGGGGGTGTTACAAGACTTCAGCCTGCTCTGAATTCAACACTCTCTATTACTAGATAAACTTCCTGTATTTCACCTAGAAAAATATGATGCCAACCATTCAATTCCTGCCAGAGAACCCACTGAGAGATCCTGGCCCTGCTCAAGTACAAGGTTTCAATACTATGCACTTTTTTCCCAGCGTGTAGCTGATCATGCCGGACTGTACTTTGTTTTTTGTGAATAGGAGTGAACATCTAAAGATTAAAAACACCTCAGGTTCATTAAACATCCCATTTATGGTTAAGAGATGCCCTCCCGTGACCCATGACTCACATGGTAAGCTGAGGCACTGCAGTGGGTGAGGACAACCTTCAGCTGCTGCTTCACTGTGTGATGGGAGATACCTTGCTGGGTGGGAACCTGGAGCTGGACTGGCTCCTGGGGCCGACTTGTCCACGCAGCTGCATGTCGAAATGCTTCAGACCCATGTCAGATGCTTTCTTCAGTTTGGCAAAGCATGGCACAAGGAGGCTTTGAGGAAGGACAATACAGGGTTTTCCTTGACTGCTAAAAATGCCTGCAATATAGGACTTAAAAAGATAAATGGATAATAAGTAGATCGGAGTAATTGGATACCTTGAAGATGAATTTATTTTAAAAAATTATCAGGGACAGAAAGTACCCCCAAAACTATCACCAGACATTTGCCATAGTAAAAAGACAAAAGACGTCTTATTTCCTATTTGAATGGCCCAAAGTAAGTTTGGTTTGAGGAGTAAAGTAGCCATTTTACCTGCAGTCTCATGCTGTTACTCCACAAGTTTTCAGTGCACGCTCCATCTTGCACTACAGAGAGTCTGCAGCCACATGCCACTGCCCCTCTGACACGTGGATAAAGGGGGAAGAGAAAAGTCAGCAAAACGAGCAGTCTTAAGGATACTGTCATGCAGCCCAGCAGCTGGGAATGCCTACCTGTCAGAGCCAGACAGTGGATACTCATCGTTCTCAGCCCTTCCTTTCAGATATTGCAGGAGAGTAACCTCACTTCCTAGAGCACTGAGCGAGACAAATAACTCTAATAAGCAAGTGATTGTATGGAAATAGATGAAACACTTCAAACTATAACCCAACAAGTTTCTAATCCATGGCTGATCTCCAACTCTCTTCCCGCTGAAGTCCCTCCCACCCCATCTACAGTCACTAGAAACGCTGCAAGCATTTAAAAATCTGGAGACCTTGCCCGTTCTTACAAACTGGGCAAGAGTCAGATTTCCAAAATGCTATTTATGCTTCATAGAAATTTCTTTCCCAGAAGTCCCTTTGTCTCCAGTAGACAATCCCTTATTTCACCACTAATTCCAGATGCAGCCAACCACCATCCTATTTAAAAGTCATTCTCTATACCATCATCTTCCAACAATGGTAGCAATAAATACATTTGATCAGGTAATTTACCTTCTGCAATCACAAAGCTAGACTAATGACCTGTTTTATTTTCTGGCTTGTAGTTTGCAAAACCAGCTCAAACTAGTAGCACAGAAATTAATACTAATATATAAAATATGGAAAAGGGTTTTATGAGAAGGTGGGTTTGTGGCTTCTTGTTTTGACTTTTTTCCATGAGATTCTTAAGTATCAAATCCTGAAATTAAGAAACCCTTGTGGTGCCTTAGTTCCTAGCAGCTTCTTTAAAAGATGAGTCGTTCAGAAAGCATGGAAAGTATTAGAGTCATTGCTTTGATGTCTTTAATAGAAATTTGGGATGGATTTGAAAGAAAGGAGGAAAGTGCTGTTATTTCCTTTTGGAATGGCAGTCTGACATGACTGGTGCTGTTATACAACAGAGCGACCGAACGGCAGTGCACACGCTAACCCAGCAGCGGGCTGAGGAACTCGTCCTCCTAATCAAGTTTATAGCTGGATGCTAAGGGGCTCAGCAAACAAACACTCATGTTTATTATAACAGAATGAACAGAATGTACCACAGAGAACATGACTCACTTTTCCATAGGACGCCTGTCTATTCTCTGGGTTTGAATAATGAAATATTGCACCTCTCGCTTGCAGTTTGTTTTACAAAGTTTTAATGAGTTCATCCCAACGAGCTGTAGCCCTGCCACATAAAAACTGATTCATTTGCCTTGTGAAAATAAGCGTGCCTTTTGACATGACACTCTGCACTAGGCCCTACTAAATCAGCCAGAGAGGCTAGACTTGCTCACAGGTGGTTTTAGTCTCGAGTGCTTTTTGAAAACGAAAATATGCGGTCAGCTTCAGCAGCATGCCGGCTGCTTTCCCTTGGGTGACAGGCTGTCCTGCTGCATCCAAAGTACCCCTCCTCCGCTCTACAGAGTCTGTCTTTTAAACTGGGGCTTTAAAACCATTACTTTCTGTAAGAAAAGGGTTTGTTTTAAAGCAGAGTTTGGACAAGGGGCATTTAAACATGCAAAAACCGAAAGAAGCTGCTTATTTCACAGGAAATTCGGATTAAAGTAGGTGTCCTCATAAGACCCTCCTGCAAGAAATTCAAATGAGGGGCAGGGGAGGGAAAGAGATTTTTAAGTAAACAAGTGAGAAGAGCCAGGGAAAACAAGAGCAATGAGCAGAGTCTCAGGTGGCCAACTTGGCAGAGCAGGGTGTGAAGGAAGGAAGAGGCTGTGGGACAAGGAACCGCTGGCGTTTACAGTAGTCAAGGAGTCTCCAGAGTTTGTGACTTTAACCACAAGTTGCTTAACGATACTGTACGCTCCCTTTTCTTTCACATCCAGCCCTGGTCATGTGGGTAAATCCCCTTTCCAGTCAAGAGAGTGGACGCAGGTGCACGGGTGGTGTTGTGGACAGTGCTGTTTGAGAGAAGAGGACCGGCAGAGGGGGTGTTTCACTGTACCTTGAAATTACAGGAGTCAAAAGGAGAAAAGGCAGCTCCTGCTGACTCAGGTCTTGGTCCCAGGACTGGAGAGGACTGGTGAGTAACAAGGTAGGGACTGAGGTGTGGTGGACTCCCTGGTGGACACCACAGGACTACCCTGTGGTGTAGACAGGGCCAGTTGCAGCTGAGGACTGGTGAGTAACAAGGTAGGGACTGAGGGGCCGCCCTGTGGTGTAGACAGGGCCAGTTGCAGCTAGAAAGAGATTTTCTTTTTTCTATCCCTGAAGGCAGTGAAGGCCTTCAAATGCTAGAAGAGAAGGATAAGGTGGGAGAAAGGGTGCGTTTGTGACTTCCCAGCGATGGATGCAGGAGAGCAGCAGGTCCACTACCAAAGAGGTGGATGTAAACTGGCACTTCAGAGACTGACTCGTTGCTGCGGCTTTCTACCAAGCATTTACAGCTACTGCAAAAGATACGCTTGATTCATGTTCGTGATGGAGATTAACCTTGACTAAGACTTTGCAAGTTAGAAAACCATTTTAGGTTAAGAAACGAAATATTCCCCAGGTTAAAGATTGCTCAGATTATCTCTCATCTTTATGGGAATTTTTAGCGTGGCTCTGCAAATGCACTGTTTGAAATTTATTTAAGTATAATTTTGCAGCCTGAAAAACTAGCTGCAATAATGGAGAAACTAACTGAATGACAAAAAAGCAAATCCTAAAATAGTTACCATTAACACCAGGAAGGCTGGGGGTGTGTTATCCTGTGGTTTTCTGTGCTTAGTAGCAATGTGTCATCATAAAGAGCGTGCATTTAACGGCTGAACAATGCTGTGCATGGTGTCACCTTTCCAAGGGGTAACTGCGCAACAGCTTCTCCAAACTGCTGAATTTCCACTGCTGAAGCAGTTCATTAAAAAAAAATCCTTATACAGCTGGGAATTATAAAACTCTGCAAGAGCCTGTGATGCCAAGGAACTTCATTTGGAGGCACACCTACGTTTCTAGTGCTTTGGAAGCTGGTCTTTTCCAAAAATCTTTCTATAGATGCTAAAGTAAGGATGAATCTGGCCACAGTCCATTCACCATGAGTGATTATAACTTAAAGGGACATTCTCTCTCTTTAAAAATTCTAATTCTTCACGTTTCTGGTTAAAAAACACAACACAAAAGAACCAGCCCTTGTGCCTATGTCAGTGTCTTAGCTGTATAAATTTAAACATTCCATTGTAAGCTAAGATTATCTTGCCTCTTGCCCACTGAGACATGTGGGTTTGGCTTTATAAGACTCCATTACTGGCCTGCTTGAACCCTGTCCAGCAAGTTTTCATCTAAATTGATTAGGACTTGGAACGTATTTTCTTGGACAAATTGTGTTCTAATGAATAGAACACTCCCTCACAGCTGTCCTGCCAGAAAGCCAAGATTTTTTTCTGTCTAGAAATCATCCCAAAGTGACCCTTAGATAAAGTTCAGAATCCATTTTCATTTTTTAATTAAGAAAAGGTTTGCTTAATTCCATTCCATACATTTCAGTGCTAGGCAGCTGACATGATTCCCCCTAAACATTTTATTTTAAAGAATTTGGTCGTGATGTCAGATCTGCCACAGACAATATATTTCTAAACACATTGTTTACATTAAATGCAAAGCATGAAGACTGCTTCAGCAGGAGGAAAAGTCTCTGTCATCCCAATTCCTGTAGGTGGCATATAGAGCAAACACAAGGTTGACTCTATTCTCTACACAATAAATTTAAACATTAATGAAGACAAACAGGGGACACCACTCTAAAGCCTCACCCAGGCACCAGGGATTTCCATGATGCCCTTCTCCAGGGACATGGCTTCCCAACAGATGCCTCCTCCCACTCAATAAGTAGCTTCAAGAGCTCACCTTCAAGACCAGGAGTGGACTGGCTGCGAAATCCTGTCATTAATTAATGCTGGCCAAATGAAGAGGGCATTTTGTCTCAATAAAGGGCCATGGCCACTCTGAGGTAAGAGCCTTCCCCAGTCAGGATGAACACACCTTTTCTTTTTAGCATTTGCTCCATACTTGTTCTCCCAGATGTCCCATCTTGGTAAATGTTTCTGTTATGATTAGTCCATCTGGAATTCTTATTCTATGACCATTCACATGGAGGATTTCATTCAATCCAGAATACCCAGTGGACATCCATGATTACATCATTTTGCTTATCTTTTAGCAAGAGTATTTCTAGGAACCAGGAGTACAATTTGAGACAAGATCAGATCCTTTCTAATCTTGCAAAAGATGGTTCTGACCCATGGACCTATGTGGCAATAACACGCCTTCAGCATGGTTTCAGGATTTTGCTGACACATGGCACTCAGAAATTAAAGATACTTATTTACAGGAATTCAAAGGAGCAGGTCTTTCAAGGAACATAACTTACCAACTCTTTAAACATCAGCTATACCTTTAACAAGACAGGAAACTGAGGGAAAGTCACCTATCCTCAATCTTGAATGGAATTTTACTCCTTCAACTACTAACTATGCTTATAGAAGAAATATTAAAACATGACAAATTGTTCTGCTACAGAAGCAATTAGCATTGTGGTATTGCTTGTGGAAAACAGGTCGTAAGATG